AAAATTAACTGAGCTGTCCAACGGGCACCTGAGTTTGACTCCTCTGCCCAGCACACACTGTAATGTAATAGGCCTGGTCAGACATTCCCTTCTCCCCCGCTCTGGTCTGACACGCCCCTTTCTTCCTCAGCACTACACATGTGCATAAGGACATTTATGGGGAGGGGTGTGGCCATTACTTATCTCTGCTGCCACAGAGCACTAGAGCGGGAGGGCATAGAATGAAAAGAAAAGTACAGAAAGAAAAGTACTTAAGGCATTCAAAATGTATTAAAACATAAAATTTGTTGGTCATATGATCAGGACCGTCAGACTTCAATTGCTCTCTAAGTCCATTAGGTGTGGGCCACTCTACATATATCTGTGATTTGGGGTTTATGTTTATACAGCAAGTCTACAATATGAAATAATTTGTCTATACAATTATTTGAGACACCCAGGGAGATATTCTTTGTACTCTGGAGACAACAGCGTATGTTGATGAAACACACAGTATTCTTTATGGAATGTTTTACTAATTATTTTTATACATGATCTTCAATAAATGTATATTTTTTATACAAAGATTTCAATCGGCTGTGGTCTGGCATCTGAAAAGCTCCAATTCAAAACATACATTTGTCTTCTGCTATTTCATGGGGGTGCGGGGCCAGTTTGCTCAGTGGTTCAATGGCAAGTTTTTGCACACATTTTTAAAAAATAACTGGTGGGGGGTTCCTCTTAATATTTAAACCTGACCCTTATCCTGACCCTTACCATGGTCATATTTGGTCATCATCACCCAGGATCTCTGGCTGGTTTGTTTACATACGGAAGCTGGAACTGGACATGGATCTGTCATTTTGTGGTGGGTATGTGATGGGTAAGCATTATCGAGTGGCTGATTGTCATGTCAACGGGTCAGCACTATTGGGTGTTAGGTCATCATGACTGACAAGGATCTACATTGTTGGATTACACGATTGGCATTGAAATTACATAAAAATAATTTGTTAATTTTTTTTTAACATTTGGTAAAAGGGTAAAGAAATGTCCTCCATTGATGTATATCTCCATCAATCATAATGACCATGTTTCATCACTGCCATGACAACTTGCCACCTAACAATGCTGCCCTGCTCCTACTATTTCAAATGACAGATCTCTGGCCTTCTAATGTTTGTACATAAACCTGCCGGGGACCCTGAGTGATGTCATTAACCAAATATGATCATATGACCATATTTGGGCAATGATGTCACCCATGATTCCCGGCTGTTATTTTACGACAGTAGCATTACCCCCTCTAATGACAGAACCCGGCCTCTGTTTTATAACAAACCAGTCAGTTTCAAAAGGTTAAACTGTACTGCCTCATAACTTCACATTCGTCTTAACGGCATCCCCCCCAAACATGTTTTTTGATTATTTTTATTATAGCCCATTAAGCACCATTAAAAGATCCTCTCCCTGCTGAACAAAATCCGCTCCAAAAAGGGTCCTGCTGTAGCGACACACGACCCGCGACAGCAGGACCCTTTGCCCCATTGAGAAGCATTGGAGAGCGATATCGCGCGGGAATTCCCGTGCGATAAATCGCTCAATGTGAACGGGGCCTTACAAAGCACCAGAAGTAAATAATAACATTTGACTCCCATAGACTTCGATGAGGTTTGGCGCTACAATCACGGTTCATTACCTTCCCGCCAGGTTTGTTGATGGTTCATTGAACTGAACATTGCCTGGTTCACTTATTCCTAATAACTATTATGGCCGAATGTATTTTCAATTATATACAGTACACACATAAAGTCATCTATACATTATCTGCCATTCCAGGTCATTGACCTCTAGAAGATGTCCTGCTGATAGCATAGTGCTCATATTTGGTTGTGTGTGGATTTTTTTTAAAATTCCATTGACTGTGGAGAACAGAATTATCCGGGTTCTACAGTTCATGGTTATACCATTCATAATAAATTATTTGTAAAACTGTTTTTATGGAATCAGATGTATGACGGGACAAACTGAGTGTGTATAGAAAAAGAGCCCTATCTTATAATGTGTCTTCAGTGGTGTCATCACATAATACTGCATCCTGGACATTCAGGCTTCTGGGTTGTTGGAGTCAGAATTGGTTTCTGAAGCTGTAAAAGAGTGAAGCTATTAGTCCATATTCCACTATGTACAGCACAGACATAGATCAGCCTCCTCACACAATGTGCTTTCCCTCCATACAGGCGTCTGTACAGAGAGTGGACAATGGGGAGCTGCTGGGTTGTGTCTACTGGTATCATTAAACATAGATATAATATTACTTGTACAACATAACTAGATTATCTGTAGGACTTCTCATCTCCAGACACAAACTACACCCTATAATGACACAGGGGAACGGGGCAGGATGGGATACTTACTCCTGGCACTGTTGTAGAAAAGTGTCCTTTTCTGTAATAAAAAATAAAAAATGGATAAAACCAGTAACAGGAGAACAACTAAATAGAAGCACTAAAAAAAAACTAATCACAGAAAAGATGGAAAACATAACAATGTGTAAAGTGTAATATATCACCAGATGTTTTCTAAAGACTAATCCTTCACATTAAAAAAAAAAGACAAAAACACAAAGCTTTAGCTGCATAGTGCAACTTTTTTTAAACAAATGTAAGAATTAATATTCATGTTTCAAAGGAATTCGGATCCGAAATTCGTTAACGGAATTTCGTATTTCGGATATAATTCGGAAACTGCAATTCGGATTTCGGATGCTTCCGAATTTACGAATTCGTACGAATTTCGATTCGTAACGAATCGCACATGTCTAATTTTTACCCGGTGACTTCAGGGGAAATAAGTCTAATATTTCACAGGCCTTACTGGAACAGGAGTGCAGAATAAGATCTCGGATTGCCATAGTCATGACTGCAGTTGGCAGCTTAATTCTTGCATAGCATGGAAGGCAATGGACATTCAAGGTTGTCAAGCCACCAGAACAGCGAAGGCAGGGTGACAAAAGACTGACATGGTGTTAACTATCCTTTGAAAGTAGCAGAAAGGATTCCACCAAGAGAAATCTACAGCAGATTGAAGATTGGAGTTGTGGCTCCTGTTAGGTCTGTAGCATGTTGGGTGCAATCAGGGGGCACAAGTCCCAAAACTCCAACTTCCCTCTCAACCATGGAATTTTCAGACTTTCTTCATCCTAGCACCTAGGTCTCTGAACTCCTGTTTAAGGACACTCCAATTTCCTCCTATTTTGTCATTGGTGCCGATGTGCACCAGGGGTCGTGCCCAACCCCATCTAGTAATCAGTCAATTCGTTGAATGTGTCGCAATGTGTCGAACACGAGCCCCCGGCAGGCAGCACACTGTTCGACGCTCACGGTTCCGATGACAGATTACCCTGTCAGTCCGCCTGATGATGACAGTGGTAGGGCTAGGCCTGTGGAGGGGACTCTTCCTAAGAAACAAGGGGACACAGTAAGTGGGTTGGGTGCAACCAGAAGCTGTGGAGTTCCAGTAATATTTTACTTGTTACAAGGACTGTGTACACTCATGCTGCTACTTCACCCACACAGGGCAAAGTGACAACGCTTCTGGAAAGGGATACCCTTCAGCCTCCATAGTCACCATACAAGCGCTCGCCTCCTCCACAGTCATCCACAACGTCCAGCACTCCTGGGTATGCAGGAGTATGTAACTTCCCTGTGACAGTATTAGGGTCTAGCAGCCAGTCACATGAGAGGGGGTCTGATGTCACCAAAACCATACATTTCAGTGCCAACTGCGGAGGAGCTAGGAGCAGAGAGGGAGCCCTGGAAAGGTGAGTATAGAGGGACAGTGCAGAGGCACTGTCAACTTATTATCCCTTCTCGACTTATTGTTCCTTCTTCTTTAACTTTACAATTAATAACTATTTGCCAGGAAGAGTCAATAAGACTATAAAATCAGACTGGACTGAATCCTTGGCTGGTTTTCTCAGCTGCTTAACAGAGAGGAGACCAAACCTTTCCTCAGCTCAGCCTCCCACTCAAGTTTGAGTTAGCCCAGGTAATGCCAGAAGTCCTGATGTTGCTAAGGACAGAATGAGACCTCAGCAAGCCCAACATCCTGAGAATGAGGGAGAGGAAAAGAATTTACACCAGTGTTGGTCCCGTTCTCATCAGTTCCTAAATTTCATTGTATGCATCAGCTAAGTGTAAATCCATTCACACCAGTACTAAGTGGTAAGGTTATGTGCATTGGTGTGCTATGGTGCCATTGGTGCCATTGGTGCCATATTGTAAAAGACAACCCAATGCGCCTTAAATACGCATGTGCAGTGTAGCATACCACAGCACAAGGCATGGTTTACTGTTCGTCACACTGGGCTGCAATAAAATACACTCTGATTTAATTGTTACATGCATTGGTTATATTTATTTTTTTTGCACTTATTGGTATTGCTATTATATAGGGGGATAACAACCCCCTATATAATAGCAAAGGCACACCGACAGGTCCTCTTTATGGAGATACGAGATATGTGCCCGCGAATGAGCACATATAGGCGATCGGCGGGCTATGGACCCGCTGATCGCCTATATGTGAAACACCCGGTAACGGGTGTGTGCATTGATCGGGTCTTTTCTGCCCGTGCGTGCCCGCCAGGGGGCGCGCGCGAGCAGAAAAAAATTGCCGTCTGGAGACGGCAACCCGCAGATGCTGCAGTGCCGTCCGTCCGTTTTTTTACTACGGGCGGACGGCAAGAGGTTAATGCACCGCAACATGTGGCAAAGCACAACAATGGATGCACTGCAGTGCACAGAATTGTGGTGTGAATGAACCTTACAGAAGGTGTGTGCACATAGGGAAACCTGCAAGAAGGCTCCAGTAAGTAGTCTCTGATCAGCCCTAGTGTAGTTATTTGGGCCTGCTGTATATACAAGATGTACCTATGTACCTTGTGCATGTAAATTATCTTATAAAACCAACATTTGTTACAAAAAATAAAGATGTAATCCTCAAAGTCTGACACTTACCTGTACACAGAGTCTTAAAATAACAGACACAGCAACACAAATAAGACAGCCGGCAGCAGCAACAACAACAATCAAACCAGTTGGAAGCCCAACCTTGGGTTCTGAGAGAGAAATAAAAGAAAATCATGAGATGTTGGTAACGCTGAAGAAGCAAGCGATCAAAAACACCGGTATTGACTCCAGAGAGAGAGAGAGAGAGAGAGACATTGGGGTTTATATATAAACAATTCCCTCCTCCCTGAGAAAACCTGTGAACTTTCATTTTGTGTGAATAATGGCAAAAACAAACATTTATAACATATTTTCATTTTAGGTCACATGTTTTGTGATGTAATACTGCATTATGGCCACTAGATGGGGACAATGAACCTATGTAACAAGTATGTATTCCCTGGCCACCGTGGCTTGGGAAGAAGCTGATCAATCATTGTACCCGCCCTCTGCTGCAGTTCCCCTTCAGGTCCATCAGCAGACGGTGGGTACAATGCTAGTACAATGCCCGGGAGAGTTTTTTCTAACAGTGTTCGGCTCACTTGACTTCAGATCAGTCATTCACTCGGCTGCCCTCGGCAGCTTCGTGAATAGACCCCTAAGTGTATAAAATAAAAAAAGTTTTAAATAATGAAAAAATAAAAAAACCTAAAACATTTTTTAAAGCCCTCCCACCCTTCTATACATGAATGTATAAGCATGTGCCTAGAGTGGCTACGTATTTAAACAGTGATCACACTACACAAGTTGGGTATCAGCACGCACACCAGAGTAAGACCGATATTTCTACGGTGATTATTCATGGATAACTCTAAACTGATCAAGGCTTTTAAAGTGTCTCCCTACAGACTATTTTGGGTGCCAAAGATTGTTCTTGTTTAACGGACGGACACAATTTTAAAACTTGACATGTTTAGCATCAATTTGCTTGACAAAACTTCATATTATATATTATTAAAAAAAGGGTAAAATATTGGGTTTGTGTCCATTAAAATTAACTTTAGGGATTTTTTTACTGAAAATTTGTGTTTGATAAACAGTTGAGCTAATATTATGTGACATAAAAAACTCTAACCTCCTCCACCATTTTATTCTCCAGAGTCTCTGCTTTCAAAGAATATATAATTCTTGGGGTTATGTGGGGGAGGGGGGTAACTAATCTTTATCCCTGAGAACCCTAAAGCCCTAACACAGGCAACAGGGATAAAATGTCGGAAATTAACCAGGGTGGGACCTGCGTCCCCAATGAAATTCTGAAGAACAAAAAATTGGGGGGACTAAGTTGGCCATTGGGTTGTCCTAAAGCAGTCTCAGACAAGGAATGACTTTCACACCTCACGGTCAACTGAAAGGACCTTCAGGTATGACAGATAGGCAATGTCTTGGGGAAAGCAATGATGTAGTTCAGGTGACTCCTAACTGCTCTTACTACAACCAGAGATCGAAGAACAACCTTCTTTCCATGGGAAGGAGACAGGCCAAAAAAAAAAA